GAAAAGTATGCCATAATGTATTCTAGTGGAATGGAGTTTTGTTATTTTAATGGCTGCACCAGCGTAGCGCCCAGATCTGTCAGAGTGGGTGTCCTCCACATTTACCGGGTAGGAGCATTTGGACGCTGACTGGTGCCTGTGCCCCGAGTTGTCTTCAGCCCTCCAGAGGAGGTGCTTACGAGCCCTTTGAGTGACTGCTGTGCTACTTCTGTGTCTTCAGTCTGTAGTGAAGTTATTGTTACGTTAATGTGTTCCTACATCTACCTTTCCATTTGATGTTGTCACATTTAAGTGTGCTTCTGAGGAACATTCACATAATATAATACACACCAGGAAACAAAGCTGGTTGTTGTAGCGATATTAATTTTTTACAGGTGGTTATGTATTTCATCCCGGGGAATTTAGAGTGTAACACCAATGCGATAGAAGGAAGTTACGTCAGAGCCTGTGTGAAGCTTGTTGCCGCGAGTGAGTGAAAACAAAGCTTCCCGGTTGAGGGATAAAGTTCAACAGACTATACTGTGTCGTTTGTAAAGAGAAAAAAAAGGCTGTATGACATTGAAGAATAAGTCTCAGTCGATGACAATTTAGTCAAGCTTTAATTGGGAATGGGGTCTAAAAGTAGTACCTACCTCCTTTTTGGGGCCTCCGGTTGGCTACGGAGTCCTTCAGAACCAGCGGTCTGTTGGGTTTGAGGACCGGTTTCCCGTTCTGCCTACTGAGCAGCCTGGCGACTTTCTCTTGGAACTGAATACCTCCCTGCGTATTCATCTCTACCTGGAACCCTCCGAAGCTGGACCTAGCTCCGCAGACTACACGGATAAACCAGCCTGGAACAGCTCACAGCCCAGCTAGCTTGTCACGAGGAGGAGGACGACCTTCTCGCGACACTTACGTTCTCCAGGAGACGTCATTTGGAATCGTAGGATGTCCCAGGAAGATCCTGCCTTTCTCGCCTCTGATTGGCCAGAAGAGCTCCACTACAATTGGCTATTTCATTTAGCAGCAAACTGTCTTCCCAGCTAGAAAGCAGACTGCCCTCCTTCCTTCAACAGAACAGCTGTTTTGGAATTTTGTAAAGAAAATGTGAACTTTAGTTAATAACCATTCTGTCCTGTTTTGTAAAATAATTTTTGATGTTTATTTAAAAAAACTGAAAAACGTAAAATGTGAACTTACAATGAATCTCGTTACATTTATTATGCTGTTGGACTTACTTTACATCAAGCATTGAGGTTAGCTTATCAAAGCCAAGTACATACAAGTATAATAGTATTTTTAGCCTGTATTTGTTTTATTGTTGTTATGGTGTCTGTTTGGTCAATATTTGTGTTGTTTTAAAGTGCTTTATAAATAAATTGCTTGCTTGCTAAACATGTGCCTTACTTGGGTGTAACGTATAAAACTGCCCTTTGTTGCCCAGCTGTGTGCAGCAGGTCTGTTTCTCTTCTAGAATAATGAAAACAGGTCAAGCTCATAATCAATCAGCTTTGAATAAAATTTTGATTAAATGAGACACATTTAGTCAGATGATGAGAGATGTGCTCCATAAGCCACAATAAGTAAACAGGGCTGGGGTGTGGGTGCGCTGACCTCTTGTTCCCCACTCACTGACCAATGTGTGTGTGTGTGTGTGTGTGTGGGGGGGGGGGGTATTCATCGTAGGTGTGGCGTGAAAGAGCGTGTTGAGGGTAAAATGTACGGCAAGCCGATAGGATCACTAATTCCCTACTTTTGAATGATGTGTTTCAGAGAGTCATAAAAAAACGGTGTTTTATCTGGTCATTGAATGCCGCACTGAGACACTGCCATTGTGCCCTCACAAACATAAAGGCCCAATCTCAATACTCGCACTTGCACCCTTCAATTTCACGTTCCCGGCCAGGGGTGTGTAGCAGGGCCGTGCAGAGACCTTTGACGGGGCGGGTGCTCAAAGTAAAAAAAGGGGCACTAATAGAGCAATCCAACAAGTTAGAAAATTCAGATGATGAGACCCTTGGGTTCAAACAACGTAATAAAAATATATCAATTAGTGTCATTAGTGTTAATGTTAGTTCATAAATAATAGTTTTAGTTTTTAAAGCTGACTTATATCTAGAGATGTTACATCCACATTTTAGCCCCTGATCCGAGTCCAAGTTGTTTGATTTTTGATTATCTTTCAATACTGAGTCCTGTTCTGATACCAGGTGGTGATGCAACGCATTATAAAAGAAGAAAGAAGTCGTCCTTCTGTCTGTATTTGTCATTTTGTTATTTTAGCCTGAAAAGGTCACTCATTCAGGAAGTACATTTAACAGGAATTAAGATTCAAGATACTTTATTGCTATTGCACAAGTGTACAACCAAAGATATTTTGCGCTTACTAAAGACAGCTCTAGTAAGAGGTCGTAAAATAAATGTAAAATAAATGCACCACAGAGACTTATCCAGTGTGATCTATGGCTATGTTAGCTGAGATCTTTTTCCTGTCAGTAGAAAATTCTTGATCCCATTCCATGATCTCACTGAACGTAACACTAAACATGAGAGGTCTGCTACTCAACCTAACAACAACACCCTTTACACAAAGGCACCATCATCACATACGTGGCAGGAGTCTCAGAGAAACTTAGAAGAATCTTCTCCAAACACAACATCCCGGTAAACGTTAACCCAACAACACCCTCACACCGAACCTGGTCCATCCAGAAGGCAAAACACCCAAATAGAAGCTCAGTGGGGTCGTTTATGCAGTCCAGTGTAGTGAGGACTGTCCAGATGTTTACATTAGAGAAACTAAACAACAATTACACAAGAACATAACACAACACAGGAGAGCCGCCTCTTCAGGTCAAAACTCTGCAGTCCACCTTCACCTGAAGGACAAGGGACACACCTTTGAAGATGACAAAGTCCACATTCTGGACAGAGAATATAGATGATTTGAGAGGAGTAAATAAAGCTATCTATGTCAAAACGTGAAAACCCCACTTTAAATAGGGGAGGGGCTTAGATTTCACCTTTCCAGTACTAATAATGCAGCTTTGAATCTCATTCAGTTTCAGTCTAGGTCACACCTTCCTGCATCTAATCAACACGATGACTCACCATCAATAGAGGCTAACCACTCATCAGGAGATGGAGAGGCGGGGTACTCAGAGTAGTTTCTGCTCTATAAATAACAACAGACAGCTACAGCTTATAAGCCTGACTCTCCCATATTCCAGTTAGAACTGACAAAGCTCCTCAGAGGAGAATTGAAATGTTTTAAAGAAACCAAAGAAGTCCAGTTGCCTTCATTTGAACTCTTTGGAGTAAAAGTCAATAATAAAAAATACATAATAAAGTAATAAAACGTATTTAATTATGCTCACATTCACTTTTACCATCTCTTTGTGGGAAGTGGAAAATTTATCACGGTTAACCCTCTTATGACCATTAATATAACTGGTATTTTTTGTTTTCTTTTATGGCTTTAAAATTGTAACAAAAGTGCAAAATGTTTGTAACTCGGCTGGACCACAAGACATAGATCCAAAGGTGATCTGAGATGGCCGGAGAGTTGATATACTGTAGAGCAGCAGAGCAAGAAAACCAGGATCAGCAGCAGGTACTCGACAATCCGGTAAGAGCAGGTGCACATCAGGATACACTGGGTCCACAGGCAGAGGCTCAGGTGAAGGGAAGCAGTAGAGCGGGGAGACGAGCCCTACCACCCAGAGAACGTTGGCGTACGTAGGGGTCTACTCCACCAACTCTCCAGGACTTCTGCAGCTTCCGTGGCAAAACCAGGGCAGGGTGGGCAGCAAGGACAGGAGACTTGGTTTGACCACCCCGTAACAGCTAGGATGCGCCGAAACTCTCAGTAACAAAACTCCTTCTGCTGGAATGAAGACAAAGCAAAAAAATATCCTCCAAGCAGGTGTTAAAGCTCACCACAGGTCCAAGTTGGTCAGATCATTCTGTAACGACGCAATGTAGACGGTGGTGGACCCATGTGTGGTGGAGCTGGACCAGGAGGCAGAAATGCCAGCTCAGGTAAAATAAATGGATTTAATGAATAATGGCAGGTAGGATGATTCAGCAGGAGCAATGTAACAGGGTGAAAACACAACAATGATCTGACAGAGGACAAGTGCAAAACAGGGGGTATCAATACACAAGGATAATCAGAAACACATGGGTAGGATAACAAGGGGCAGGTGAGTCCAATAAACAACTAATTAGGGGTAGACGAGACCAAGAGTCAGAGGGGTTGGAGCAGATCCTGATACCGGGTACCACTCTCCTCCACCACAAACAGGTAAAAGAGGCTACAATTTGCACCAGCTCACCAAAATTGGACAGTTGAAGACTAGAAAAATGTTGCCTGGTCTGATGAGTCGATTTCTGTTGAGACATTCAAATGGTAGAGTCAGAATTTGGCGTTATCAGAATGAGAACATGGATCCATCATGCCTTGTTACCACTGTGCAGGATGCTGCTGGGGGTGTAATGGTGTGGGGGATGTTTTCTTTGCACACTTTAGGCTCTTTAGTACCAACTGGGCATCGTTTTAATGAAAAGGGCAACCTGAGCATTGTTTCTGACCATGTCCATCCCTTCATGATTACCGTGTACCCATCCTCTGATGGCTATTTCCAGCAGGATAATGCACTGTGTTATAAAGCTCCGGTCATTTCAGACTGGTTTCTTGAACATGACAATGTGTTCACTGTACTACAATGGCCCCCACAGTGACCAATCTCAACCCGATGGAGCATCTTTGGGATGTGGTGGAATGGGAGCTTCGTGCCCTGGATGTGCATCCCACAGATCTCCATTGTAATGGCATGAAGGTTCTGATTTGTGCCAAAGGTCACATTTGCCCAGCTGGGTCAAGCAGGGTCAAGCAGTACTTTGAATCCACAGATTAAACCCAAGGAGCGACGATGTCTGCTCAAGACCATAACGTCATATCTGTCGTTCCGTCCCAGAAGAAGGACACTTCAAGCCACGATGATAATAATTAGATACTAATTAATGAACTCATTGTTTTTTTACTGTTTAATATAATCATTACAACATGATCACTTGGTTCATTATAAAAGTATCTTAATTACATGAAATGGATTATTATGCTTTGGGTATAATAATGATTAATTATAATGATTATAAAGATGTGTTCAGCAAAGAAGACCTTCACCCTATTCAGCGAACACAGAGTTCAGATAAACAATAACTGCAACACATGTTTTTGACGCATGAGCAAGCTTTCTTCCGGAGAGAGTGGGAGTGGTTCTGAGAGAGTTTGGTAAGACTAACCATCACAGGTTTCACGTCCAGTTCTGGAACAAGACATCATCCTGAGGAGTCAGGGACGGCCGCCCTGAACCTCTGCCAAGCTGTTCTGTCACGCCGACAAGAATGGCTAAAGAACAAACGAAACAAACCAACTAACGAAGACTCTACCAGAGTCATTGATTTCTGAAGTTAAGTTAAATACGAGAACGTTCATCTGCCAAACGCTTTGTAAGCCGTGTACCCAGGACGTCTCTGGACCGGACCATCGGACACTTGCGTCTCCTCTACCAGCCGAAGTGTCACCTTGGATGAAACCCATCCTCCTGATGTCCGGATCCACAAAGGGGGCCCTGTTTGGGTGAGGTAGAACACGACAGATGACGTTTGATGCTGTCTTCTCTCGAAATAACTAAGTTATCTGCAAAACATCATTTTCACCCTGAACGCTTTCATTCCCTCTGAAAGAAACCTTCTGAGAACTTCATTCATGCATGCATCCAAAACTCATCATTCTCAAATTAGTTTTCCATCCAACACAGGTTTGCATTTAAACAAGTTTAATGTCCATTATGCAATCAAAGCATGTCCAGGAAATACTGCCAGGAAAATTGCACTTTTTTCAGATAAAGAGGACTTTATATA